GAGTTTTGGAGCATGTTCATTTTTCCAAGAATGCAAAGCTGCTCAAATCTTGCTCTGCTTAGGTGTTCTGTCCAAATGCGAGCCGTTGTGGACCAGATTCCAGTGCTTACTTTGCCTTAGGCGCTTTGTTTTGGAGCAGATTTTGAGCACCTCGTCTTGTGCGCAAAAGCTAGCCTGCTCAAAACGTGCTCTGTGTGGGTGTCGGGTTCGGGGAGGGGGCGGGGAGACAGCCTCCAGGAGCACTTTTGGAGCATGTTCAATATTACAAGAAAGCAAAGCTGCTCAAATCTTGCTCTGCTTAGGCTTAGGTGTTCTGTCCAGCTGCGAACCGTTTTGGAACAGGTTTTGGGCACCTCCTCTTGTGTGCAAAAGCTAGCCTGCTCAAAACCTGCTCTGTGTGGGTGTCGGGGGCGGGGAGGCAGCCTCCAGGAGCACTTTTGGAGCATGTTCAATATTGCAAGACAGCATAGCTGCTCAATTCTTGCTCTGCTTAGGTGCTCTGTCCAACTGCGAGCCGTTGTGGACCAGATTCCAGTGTTTACTTTGCCTTTGGCGGTTTGATTTTAGGAGCAGCTTTTGTGCGCCTCCTCTTGTGTGCCAAAGCTAGCCTGCTCAAAACGTGCAGCAAAGCTGCTCAAATCTTGCTCTGCTTACCTGTTCTGTCCAACTGCGAGCCGTTGTGGACCAGATTCCAGTGTTTACTTTGCCTTTGGCGGTTTTTTTGGAGCAGCTTTTGAGCACCTCCTTCTGTGCGCCAAAGCTAGCCTTCTCAAAACGTGCTCTGTGTGGGTGTCGGGGGCGGGGAAGGCATGGCTACACTTCTAGCTGCAGGCCATTCCCGAAGCCTAAGTGACACATTTTTACAAAGCTTGGGCTCCAAGCCCACCAGCGCGCAATTTGACCTGGGCAGTCAGGCGAGGCTGGAGAAGTAAGGCGACACACCACTTCGCAAGGCTTTGGGCCCCAAGCCCACAAGCGCCCAGCAAACTGCAGCTTCTAACCTGGGTGGGGTCTGGGCTGAAGTTGGGAGTGAAGGATGAAGCTTTGCTAGGACATGATGACATTGGCTCACGGTGCATGGGCCTGAGTTGAAGTGGAGGCTCGGGTGAAATCCATGATGAGTTTGCGAGTTGCTCAAGTTGGTACGAAGACGATAGGTGGCGAGGGAACCTTAACTTGAAAAGGGTTCCCGAGGTCGAGTCCTGATTCTACGGCTTCGAAGACCCTAAACGGCAATGAACAACCTTCCATAAATCCTTATATTAAACCCTTAAACCCACACCGACGAGGGCGAGTGCGCAGAGCTGAGGCCATGACCCTGCGTGGGGTTCAGGGGGTTTTGGCAATGATGAAGGCGAAAATGCAGTGTTTAGGGTTTGCATAGGGGCTGGTGGTTTAATGTTTGCAGCCCTGAAGTGCTTACGGTGTAAGGGGAATTGGCTATGCTTACCACTGAAGCCGACTCGTCGAGTGTCGTGGGGAACTCTAGGCTATCTGTTGGGAGTTATTATACTGGGGTTATACACGGAGTATTATAGTTAAAGGTTACCTGCTTTACAGTGGAGCGAAAAGCTTAGCCTTGCGTCCCAAGCCTAGGGCGGGTTTAGGGCTCAGCGGGTTAGGCTATGCATTGAGGCGAAACCCTAAACTAAAGTCCCAAGCCCTACCCTAAAACCCAAAGCCCTGCCCTAAACCTGAACAGCTAACGCCAAAACTACTCCACCTCCTGCCTTGATCTGTATCGGTCGTGTGCTAGGACCTAAGACTAAAGCCTGTCTCGACCTGCGTTGGTCGTCTTAAGTAGTATTAGTCTTGGACTACGTCTAGGGCTTAAGCACTACCTAGACCGGAAGCTAGCCGAAGACCTGTATCGGTCTCGACCTGTATCGGTCGTCTTTATATAGATCTACGCCTTAGTTTTAGTTAATCATACCTAGACCCGAAGCTTACCTAAGAAGACCTGTATCGGTCCCGACCTGTATCGGCCATCTTAGAATATTTATGGGGTAATTTAATCATACCTAGACCTCAAGCTTACCTAAGACCTGCATCGGTCTCGACCTGCATCGGTCGTCTAATCTATGTAATAATACCTAGACCCGAAGCTGCCTAAGACCTGTATCGGTCTCGACCTGCATCGGTCGTCTTAGATTTATGCCTATTTGCGAAGGTTACGCCCTACCCGAGACCGAGACCCGACAATTTAAAGCTAAAGACCTGTATCGGTCTCGACCTGCATCGGTCGTCCTAATCCTAGTCTTAACTACAAGACCTGTATCGGTCTCGACATGTATCGGTCGTCATTATTTAAAATCACTAAACCCTAAGCCTGAACTTCCTTTGAATCTGGGATCCCCGCTGTCCAATCATCGATGAGGACGAACAGGAGGTGGCACGTCATGAGCCAGCAGGAATTTATTATGGTGGTTTAGGCGAGGGCGAGTGGGTCCGGGTTCTCCTGTGGGCGAGGGCGAGGTTTTGGGTGGGCGAAGGCCTGAAGCTTAGGGTTCCAAGGGTCAGGGCGTCTGTTTTCTGTTGGGACTGCAGGTGTGCAAAAGCGACTTGAGCACCAATGACTATGAAACACGCAAAAGGTCTATTGACCATGTTATATCACACCCATGATACCTAAATTGAGAACAGTCCAATTCTAGATGAGGGGGCAACAAAAACCCATGATACCTAAATTGAGAACAGTCCGATCCCAAATGAGGGTGCAAAAAAACCCATGATACCAGCTGATACCTAAATTGAGAACAGTCCAATACCAGATGTGGGGGCGAGAAAAAAAAGGATTCAAGGGTGCAACTAAACAACATAGATGTGCCAAAAGGTGCCTGGGCTCGGTGAGGTCGTCGATGCTGTCGACATCATTCTGTCAAACCAAAATCGTTCGCCTGATGATCTGAAACACCCACCTCCCGAAATTGTATTCAGGCAGGCTGCATTCGCAAGTACCGTCAACGAAAGGTTCAGCCAAGTCACGTAAGCAGTGCACGAAGTGCGTATGTGAACTCAAGACCAGCTCAAGCCGAAACTGATAAGCATGTGAGCTTGCATATCATCCTATTGTCAGACATGGCCACAGCGACCTGCACTCGGTGCTTCGTTGATATATGTGGAAAATGACGTGCATTAACAGCAATTGCATGCCAAGCAGTGAGCCGGCCTGCTCAGTCTGCAGCATGTACACGGGCCTGCCACATCATTACAAACTCCTTTCGACGCGCGTCTGGCGTGTGCTGCTCCTACTTGTGAACTCGCAGCGTAAACCACTTCGTCCAGCCGACTATATTAATCTCGAGTGGATGTCAGCGCATGTTTCTGTTGATATGCATGTCCTGACAAATGCCCACCTGCACCCCTTGCCCTGCAGCCTGTCCTGCCAGATCACGTACAACAACGATTCAATATCACTGCGTTGTGTACTCCTACCACGCGCTTCTATCACTCCTGCATCAACATGCGCAGGCCTGGTTGGCATCGACTTTGCAGATTCCGACCTCACGGGCGCAAAGTCTCTAGACTGTAGACGTTCTTCTATCAACCCCGTACTATGCCAAGCCGCACGTAGTGTTCACGAGCTATTGGAATGCAGTGCTCTGGTATCGTAGGCTCGAGATCTAAGCAGGCTTCAGGACAGCCAAATTCGCGGACCCCTACACGGGAAGAGCGGAAAGAGTGGTGGTCACTTATGTGCAAACTGCATGCTCGTATACTGATCGACGAATCAAACTGTCTGCACGTGTGAAGTAGACTGAATTCCACGAACAACCTTTATTTGTTGGTAGACGTCCTGCTGGTAAACTGATCGTCCGAGTATACGGGGCAGTTAAGCATAAGACGGCCCAATTTCCGGTAGCACCTCGCCGGAAAGGCCGGTCAGGGATACAGCCGCATTAGAGGAGAGAGCAACAGCTTCGAGCCGTGAGAGGCGGTTTCTTCGCTACCAGTGTTCATTGTGTCTTAGACACGATTGTGATCAAGGACGCCTAAACGTCGCTGAGTGTTCGCGGCGTATATCACAAGCCAGCCATTACAGAAACATAATTCCGCCGAGCCGATGACATCAGCAGTATTAGACACCAGCACTTGCGAGCAGTTACAGAACGACCACCGACACGAATCTATCACCTGCCAATGTAGCGCATGCGGCGCATGCAAGACTTTGCCAATGGCATCCGCTACCAATGCGACACTCGACCAGTCGTGTCTTCAAATGCCGCTCAAATGCCTCACGGAATGATCTGTTTCCTAATCTCTCAGGACCATTGTTAGTTGCGGCACCAAGTGATTGCGAGGACTCTGCCACGACCCCCTTCTCGTGCACTGTTAGTCAATAATCATTCGTACACGGAAACATGTTTGCAGGACTTCAGCGCTACTCATAGTAACAGCAGTTGAACCTGCGCGACCCCCCAGCTGCAATTCTTGCCCAGGAGCGGCCATCCAACCCCCTAGCTGCACCACAGTGCCCAAGAGCGGCTGGATCAGCAGGAAGCACTAATAGCTTAAAGCGCCTGTTGAAGGTGTCTGCACAGGACGATAACTAGGCTAGCTCAGTATACAGTTTTAGCTATAGAATGTTACATGGCATAAAACGCCAAGTAGACACCCTTATCCGCAAGTGAAAGCAACCGACGTGGTTTTGGAGACTTTGGTGAGAACAGCGCATACGACTCCAAATCCCTTGGCCTTTGGTCCAAAACCAGAGAAGTGAAAGTAGCAGACGCGATTTTCGAGGCTCTGGGCCCCAAACAAAAGCAACAGATGTGGTTGCGGAAGCCTTAATCCTCAACAAAAGCAGCAAAGGCATTGAGAAACCACCTAATCCCACGTGGCAACAATTGAGACAAAACTATTTCTCTTGCGACCGATCTGAGTCTGAAGGTGTTGCGATTGGAAAAATTTACGAGGTCGGGTTCGGAGCGGAAAACACCTGCTTCAAAAGGGCTAGCCTCACCTTTAAAGCTTTCACCTAACAAGACACCAAACGTCAGTTAGTCACTCTCAGACTCCGAGGCCTCCTGCTTAAGCTTGCGCCTTTTGGCGCAGCTGTGCTCAGCTGAAACTTTGGTAATCAACCCGGCTTTCATCCGGGCATACTGCTGGCACGCGCGGCATTTCCCATGCTCCAAGGGAACACGCTTCAACTTCTGTACAGGGGGGGCTTTCTTGGAGTTCTTGCCAGACTTCCCGGACTTCGCGTCAACTTTGAGCTGGTACTTGGTTACCTTCGCCTTCGCTGCGTCTCGCTTGGCACACGCCTTGTCTACCTGGTCGTGCCGAACTATATACGTACGACATGATAAACTCCATTTGGGGCACTAGGCCAGTTGCTGTTCTGTTAAAATTTTGTGGGACGCGGGCAGATATTGATAAACATTGGGACTTTGAGGGGCGTTCCAATGTTGCAGCATCCTATGTCCTATGCCCTTTCGAGCAGAGGCAGACGACAAGAGGGTTCTTAAACGGTTGGGATGTTCAACCCCGAGCCTCGAGCTCGCACAACTTCAGCTCAAGTTTCGCCGCTACCAGCTTGCTGGAGGCGCCCATTTTTGCGAGGTTCAGGGAAGACACACGCCAAGAGCCGAAAAACTGACAAATGAAAACGTTTCGGCTTCGGTTTGCAAGGCCCGGAGTTTGTCTTCTACAGCGGGAAGGCTTGAAAGCCAACAATAAAAGCCCAACAACCGCAACACAAAACCATAAAACCCCAAGAACAGTTTCTGGCGCCCCGTGCAGTAGCTGCTGAGGGCTGCACCTGGACAGCAAGGTAACCCTGAGCTCGACAACACTCAAGCTCGGCTTTTCAAGTTTAGAATGATAGTTCGCAGTCTTGCGTAGACTCGAAACCCTCAGCCTCAAACCTGACTAACTAAATTTCAAACGTCAAACGCTCACCCTAGTAAGATGCACATGAGCTCAGGCTTTGGTCTCGCGGGTTCACGGTGGATGGCTTCGGGTTCAGGCTTACGGCGATTTGGGGTGAGTTTTTTTTGACAACACGTGGGTTTGACTAGTTTGCAGCTTCAGGCATTTAATTAAGCATTTACGAAGCCAAAGCTAAGCATTTCTTTACAACATTGCATCACCATGCGCTCTTGATAAGTACCACGGAACTGATTATCATAAGGTTGAGTGTATGGTGACAGGGGTTGAGATGTGGATCTTGGAATACAGGGTTTGGAGTGCATGATTTCCAAACCCGCCCGAGATCCTGCAACCCAGCCATATCTTTGCACACGGAACATACTCCACAAAGACACCCACTGCTCGCTAAACCTTGAATTGTCAAGCCATAAATAACAACACCCTTGTACCCCGCAACTCAAACCCAAACCCCGAACCATAAACCCTAAACCCTGGAGCCAGAACCCCGTTGGACCAGTATCGCTACAGTACGATAAGTACATGACACAAGCCAAAAGGGAAATCAAGGGGAAAACAAGGGGAAATGAACAACGGCATAAGGGGAAAAGCACATGCAGCCAGAGCGTAGTTTAGGGGAAGAGTTAGGGGAAATACGACGCAGTTTAGGGGAAGACCTAGGGGAAATTCTGACAGCAGCATACTTAGGGAAAGGAACATCTAGGGGAAACGAGGGGAAAACTAGGGGAAACGAGCCAGCGAAGGGGAACGCAAATAACAGGAAAAATAAGGGGAAACCAGTGAGACAGATCATGAGTCCCATGGAAGCAGATCATGGATATGTTTCCAAAGTGTCCTCGCACTTTAAGTATATCAAGCTTAACTGCTTCACAGTATATTTTGCTACAAGAAGCAATACAACGCAAAAACAAACTTGTCATCGGTTTCAAATTTCGTTACACAGAAAAGCAGAAGCGCTGAAATCTTCAATACAACTTGTTGCTATACGAAAGAATACGATTCGGCTGACTTGGAACACTAGTTTGTCTGAATTCTTGAAAATGATTGAAGTTTTAATTAATCTTGACCCATATTGAAAAACGTCAAGTCGGTGAAAGTCATTTTCAAATCGTGATAAATTTAACGTATTCAATTTGATTGGAACACGAGCCAGGAGGCAGGAAAGAGGGTGAGCATGGGCAGTGCTAGTGGGGAATTTTTTTGAGAAAAAAAATGCGTCTGGGGATCTGGCGTTCTTTTGAACCTTTTGAAATGCAGAAAATTCTAATTTAGACTCTGGGGATTTGGGGCCCCTTTTAAATCTGGAACTCTTTGTAAATTTTAAAATTTAAGAACTTTTGATTTATTGAAAATTTTGGCCTGTGGGGATCTGGAATTCCTTTAAAATTTTGAAAAAAACTTGAAATTTTCATTTTTTTTAAAATTTGGCTTGTGCGGATCTGGAATTCGTTTTAAATTTTTAGAATTGTTAAAATTTTGGCCTGTCGGGATCTGGAATTCTTTTAAAAATTTTAAAATTTTGGCCTGTGGGGATCTGGAATCCTTTTTAAATTTTTAAAATTTTTGAAATTTTTTAAATTTTTAAAATTTTTAAAATTTTGGCCTGTGGGGATCTGGAATTCCTTTAAAATTTTTAAAATTTTTTAAAATTTTTAAAATTTTTAAAAATTTAAAATTTTTAAAATTTTTAAAATTTTTAAAATTTTTAAAATTTTTAAAAATTTTTAAAATTTTGGCCTGTGGGGATCTGGAATCCCTTTAAAATTTTTAAAATTTTTAAAATTTTTAAAATTTTGGCCTGTGAGGATCTGGAAATCCTTTTAAATTTTTAAATTTTTTAAAATTTTTAAAATTTTTAAAATTTTTAAAATTTTTAAAATTTTTGAAATTTTTAAAATTTTTAAAACTTTTAAAAAGTTTAAGATTTTTAAAATGTTAAAAATTTTAAGTATTTTAAAAATTTTAAAGGAATTCCAGATCCCCAGAGGCCAAAATTTTAAAAATTTTAAAAATTTTAAAAATTTTAAAAATTTTAAAAATTTAAAAGGATTTCCAGATCCCCACAGGCCAAAATTTTAAAAGTTTAAAAAATTTTAAAAATTCTAAAAATTTTCAAAATTTTAAAAATTTTAAAAATTTTAAAGGGATTCCAGATCCCCACGGGCCAAAATTTGAAAAATTTTAAAAATTTTAAAAATTTTAGAAATTTTAAAAATTTTAAAAATTTAAAAAGAATTCCAGATCCCCACAGGCCAAAATTTTAAAAATTTTTAAAAATTTTAAAAATTTTACAAAAATTTTAAAAATTTTAAAAATTTTAAAGGGATTCCAGATCCCCACAGGCCAAAATTTTAAAAATTTTAAAAATTTTAAAAATTTAAAAGGAATTCCAGATCCCCACAGGCCAAAATTTTAAAAATTTTAAAAACTTTAAAAACTTTAAACATTTAAAAAGACGTCCGGTTCCCCGGCATGAAGCAAAGACTGCCTACGGAGCTTTCCACGTATGTGCTTATATTCGAAGAAGCAGCTTACTCAAATAGCGCAGAGAGGTCCTACGCACATATCCCTATAACCTTCAACTTTCAGGAAGGCTAGACGTGACCCTCGTAACCCAAAAACCTAAACCCCAAACCCTAAAACTCTCCTACCATCCATACATTTTATCATTTTTTATTTTCAACTATAATTACAAATGTACAAAACCAACTATATATATATATATATATATATTATCTTTTCTATTTATGTATATTCAAAACTAAACCGAACCCCAATGAGCCTTGCACTGGGCGTAGACCTGGATCGTTTCCAGGCCCGCCTGGTGCCGACTTTGGTTTCGCCACACAGGCCGGCCGTGAGCCCCAAGAGATCCCAATACCCCTTAATTAACTAGGATACCCAGTAACCTAAGAATAAAAGGCCTCTCTTTTTGGTATTGGGTAACTTTATAAGGAACCTAGGACTACAAAAAGGGAATAAGGGTACTACTGGGCATCCCAGTCTATGCTTACAACCCCATATTGGGGAACTTACAACCGTCTATGATAACCCCACCTAGAAGTACCCATGAACCTCCAAGGTACCGTGCAGTGAGCATGTCAACTTCGGACTCACTCCCTGCCTGGCTGCCCGTGTTGCGGACCTGTGTGGAGTCGCGTGGTGTTGGGAGGTTTGGGAGAGGAAGGAGTGGCTCAGGGTTCAGGGCTTAGGTTTAGCTAATTAACTAGACCACCCAAGAGCATCCTAGGAATAAAGAAGGTGCCCTTTTTGTTTAAGGCGGCTTAGAAGGGACCTGAACCCTAAACAAAGGGAATAAGGGCCTAGTCTAGGTCCTAGTTAAGGGTCTAGTTTAGGGTTTAGGGTTTAGGGTTTAGGGTTTAGGGTGGCTCTAGACACGTGAAACCTGAGTATGCAAACGGACCAGACTCGAAACAGGAGCAATCATCAAACCCTGTACACATAACTTACCCGTTATTGCTGTACGTCTAGAATGTCTACATCTGTGCACAGACACTTGTATGGATGCTCATATTACTCACATAAACGTATATGCATACAAACATAACAAAATAGTATGTGGAATATATATATATATATCTAATATGCATGTATTAGCATATGTAAACATACACATACATACATACGTACGTACGTACATACGTTAATACATGCATGCATACATACATACATACATACATAGAAACATACCTACATACATACATACATAGATACATACATGCATAGGTACATAAAGACATACCTGTACACATCCAGGTGCAAAAAACTGTTGTTGGATATTCTTTCCGTGCATGAGAGTTTCATAGAGCTCGGAAGGCTTAGACCCAAGGCCCTGAAAATTGCCGTAATGAAAACCTAAGCTCACTTGCTACGGCAGCACCCACGTTGGGCTGAAACTCTGTGCACACAAGGGCCAGTACTCAGTATGTGTTCTCTACACTAGCGCCGTTCAGGTTCCTCTTAGTTTCCACTGTACGGTTCATGGGTATCTATAAGTAGGGTTATAAGTCGGGTAACTATACTTATAACCCGTTAGGGGACTTATAGCTCCGCTTAGAACTACCCATGAACCTACAAGTATTCTTTTGAGCCTAGTTTGGACACCCAGAGAGGCATCCTGCTTTAGAGAACCTCTCACGGGTACCACCGGATTCGGATGCTACACTGAGCTGCAAGTCCCGAATCGCCGAACCCCAAGCCCTGTAAGTCTCGAACGTCGAACCCTAAACCCTAAACTCCAAAACCCAAACCCTAAACTCCAAACTCGAAGCCAGTTTCGGGCTTATGCTGTAGAATTCAGGCTAATTAGGGTGCAGAACGTGAAGCCTCGCCTCGAACCCTCAACCCTGAGGCACAGACCCTAAGCACCAGGAGGAATTCTCTAAAACGTGGAACAGCTTTGGCAAAACCCTTGTGAACACAGCCATAGGTCAGGTTCTAAACCCAAAAGCCAAACCCCTAAGCCCACGCTGCCAGCGTCTTGGCCCCATATAGAAACGCTATGCTTCAAGATCGCTTCTGTTGTTACCATTGCAATCAAGACATGCAAATGACAAGACGCGCGCATGACACCAAAGGCAATCCACAGTTAATATAGGGGCCGTAATAATTAGAATAGGGTTTGGGGTATATTGTATTCTAGTGTCGATGAGAAACCCCCAAACAAGTATCGGTGATTATTTAGGCCCCTATAGTATACCTTTATAATAGCCCTTATAGTAACCCTTTGTGGACCCCTTTCAAAGCCCTATTCTACTTGAAGGCTCATGGGACTTAGTAACTAAGGTTATAAGTAGGTTATAGTTAGGAGAACCCTACTTAGGGGACTTATAACCCAATTATAACCTACTTACTGAGTCCCATGATCCTCTAAGTAACTATTTAGGCCCCATATCCTTGACGAGAACCCGGCAGTGAACCTGCTTTTGTTGTCGGGCCCTTTTCCCAAAGGGTTTAGGGTTTAAGGGTTAAGGGTTAAGGGTTTAGGGGTTTAGGGGTTTAGGGGTTTAGGGTTTAGGGCCTTTGTACTGTTATTGGGGATACTTCGCTAAGTCATAATAGTAATTCCTAATATGGAAACCCTACATTCTACTATATCGGTACATTGGACCCTTTGGGTTTAGAATTCTATACAAGGGCTTAACACTCAGAACTCCAAGAGAAAGGAGTAAATAGTAGGTCAACGTAAGCGCAAAACCGTACATCGAAAGACAGGTTCTAGCATCAGCCCACAAACCGTGGTGTTTAGGATTTGGGGTGCCCCTCCTCTGTTCGCACGAGAATGCGCGCATTCTGGAGGTTCAGCTCCGCAGAGAGGCCGGAGTGCTGGAAGCTGGTGTAGCTGAGGCCCCAACCTGAGGAGTTAGCTTACCTTTAGGGTTTAGGGTTTAAGGGTTTAAGGGGTTTAGGGTTTAGGGCACCGCAAACAAGTTTGCAGTTTGCTTACCTTTGGTTAGTAGGGAGTGGAAGAATGGTAGTAATAGTACTTCTAACCGTACCCCGTTGCTCCATTTCCCTACTAACCAAAGGTAAGCTATAGGATTATTAAGGCCCCTATATTATAGTACCTTTATAGATCCCTTATACTACCCCTTATAGACCCCTTTACAAGGCGCCCCTTCCCTTCCCTACTAAGCAAAGGTAAGTTGGAGGAGCTTCCGGGTTCAGGGCTTGACGGGGGTTTGTGTTTGGGGGGTTGAGGTCTTGGTAACCCTAAACCCTAAACCCTAAACCCTAAACTTCGAGCTAAAGTATGAAATGAGGTTAGGGTTGAGAGATTTTGAGCTAACGGTTGGGTGAACTCCGGTTAGAATAACAATACCTGAGAAAGTAAGCCCTAACACACTTACAAGGGACAGTGGTGGCTGTTACTGCTGCCTAAGTTTCGGGCTCAGGCGGTTTGGGGTTTGAGTTTATGGTGTACCCCGAACCCTGCACCCTCAGTCCGAGGGGCACGAGCAGAAATGCCACCGCTACAGGTAGTGGTAGGCCACATAAGTTCACTTGGCTGTCTTCTGAACCCCCTAAAAGCAAAACTTGTGGCCTCCTTATTATGGTTCATAGCTAGACCCAAAAAGTTAAAGTCCAAAGAGCCAACCAGAAGAACGCCAAGTTCAGGGACCTTCCCTAAACCCTAAACCCTCCCACTCCCACCCTAAACCCTAAACCCCTAAACCCTAAACCCCTAAACCCTAAACCCCTAAACCCTAAACCGCTAAACCCTAAACCCCTAAACCCCTAAACCCCAAACCCCTAAACCCTAAACCCCTAAACCCTAAACCCTAAACCCTAAACCTTCCTTAAACCCTAAACCCTCCCACTCCCACTCCCGCACTATCTCCAGCCGAAGCCCGGAACCTTAGACGTAAACCTATGGTGAACCCCAGAAAGTTGGAACATTGATATAGGATGATTAGTGCTAGAATTCCCTCTACTTTGCCTCAAGGGCATCAGGATAATGATGTTCCAACTTTCTGGCTTCTACTGTAAGGCCTGAACCTTACTTAGGGGCTCAGGGGACTTAGCGGTGTTATAGTTGGGGTCTTTTAGGTCCCTATAAGTGTATATTATACTATAACCATGATAAGGCAACCACACAATAGATAGGCGATTGTTAAGGCCTCTATATGAATGTAGGGGCTTCACTGCTTAAAACGAGATTTGAGGGAACTGTTTGTATAGCTGTATAAGGACTTATTGTTATTGCCCTTTTGCAGCAAGCTTGACCTCCAAGCCCCGTTCTACAAACGAGGTCCTTCACTAGGATACCCAGTAACCTAAGAATAAAAAGGCCTCTCTTTTTGGTATTGGGTAACTTTATAAGGAACCTAGGACTACAAAAAGGGAATAAGGGTACTACTGGGCATCCTAGTTCAAGCATCTGGCCTTGTTAGGAGTCTAAGCATGCAGAAGGCAGCTTCCCAATCATCGTCGCCGTCGAGCAAACTTCCACTAATTAGACGCGAAAAGCCACATGGGAGGTTCCGAAACTCAGGGGTACCTTATAATAAGGATCCTACTATTTAGGGCATTTAGGGTACTATAAAAGGGTCCCCCTTATTTTCGGAAACTCCCACATGAGACAGAGACACCCGAGTCGAATCCGGTCGGCTGAGGGCCCCGCCAAAGGGAAAACGAGGCTGGATGCCGCGATCCCACATGTGCTTGAACCTGGAGGGCCGAAGGGCCCGTTTAGAGTTTAGGGCTTTAGGGTGTAGGGCTTTAGGGTGTAGGGATTTAGGGTTTAGGGGTTTGGGGATCCCACATGTGCTTGAACCTGGACTTGGAAGGGCAGGGGACTTAGTAAGTAGGTTATAAGTAGAGCTATAAGTACCCTAAATGGAGTTACCCCAATTATAACCCTACTTATAACCTACTTACTAAGTCCCCTGTTAGGCGCTTCTTCAACATAATCGCCTTGACAACTGCTTCAAAGCTCGCTGCAGCATATCATACACACACACACACCTATATATATATATATATATACATATATATATATATAGGTGAAATATAGGAGCTTGGTTGATTAGACTAGGGTTTTTTGGTACAGTGCAGTATATATATATATATATACATACATACATATATACATGTAGGCATATGGGGGAGGCCAGAAGGGGATGCGCTGTGAATGATGCAGACCTCTCTGCGTTTTTCCGTATCACCTGAAATTGCGACACGACCTGGTTGGTTCTCCAAATTGAGTCTTTGACGGTCTTTGCCATAAGAGTGCGCAACTAGAAGAGGGGTTTGGGGCCCAATATGCTACAATTTTAATAAGGAGCCCCCGAAATAGTATTGGTAATTATTGAGGCCCCTGTATTAGCAGACTTAATAGTTCGAATCCGGTTTAGGAGTGAGGGTTTACGGCTTCGGGTATATCTACATGCATCTTTAACAAGGGATCCTGGGGAGTAGTACGAGCACTTAACCATTTAGACCCCTTTGTTAACCATCCCAGGCCTGTGAAATTTCCGCTGTTTCCGAAAAAAAGAACAATGAGAGGGCCCTTGTGGGGTCTAGGACTTACAAGGTTAATGAACTGTTCTGTGCAAAAAGCATGTTGAACCCGAATCCTCAACGCTTCATCAACCGAAACATCTAAAAGAGCCAGCGCGCTTGAAACAAGATTTAGGCTTTTGGGTTTAGGGCTTAGGCAAGATGATGAGTAGCCCGAACAGGCCATAGTAGTCAAGCTCTATATAAAAATCCACACAAACCCGAAACTAGGGGCCCTTCAGAGCCTCAGACAAATCTCAGTAACGACATCGGATACTGTTAAGCCCAATAAGGCAAAAATGCCCTCACCATACAAGCAGGTTACATTGCCACATCTCAAGGATCCTAAAGCATCCTAGCATGAGTAGCTGGGGGGGGGTCCTAATGAAGTGGTTCATGTTCTTGATGTTTGGGTAGACGTGTAAGGCCTAGGTTTCGTGGGTGTGCTGTAGGGTTTTGGAGTTGGGGGCTTTCTTTCGCACTCCAGCTTTCCGAACCGGAGCATGACATTGGACAACAGTTCAAAAGGCTCAGTAAGGCTTGTGAAGTCTCGAAACACCTCGAGCCTTAAACCCACCCTTGAACACCAAAATAACCCTAAGCCGTTGTTCCCAAAACCAAAGACCGTAAACCCCACCCTAAACCCTAAACCCTATCACTACTATGAGTATTAATATTTGTATTATTACGGTTACGACTGTAATTACGAACATTATTGCTATTACGAATATTCTTTTTATTTCTTTTTACCATTATCATCAAGCATATCCAACCAAGCCGCCCGTGGCTGTAGGGATAGGTCGGAGCGACGTCGATCTTGTCTGCGGCCCAGGGCCTGGCTACCGATGCGGCAGGAGCAGTCGTCGCGGCATTATTAGTAGCAGTAGTAGTAGTAGTAGTAGTAGTAGTAGTAGTAGTAGTAGTAGTAGTAGTAGTAGTAGTAGTAGTAGTAGTAGAAGTAGTAGTAGTAGTAGTAGTAGTAGTAGTAGTAGTAGTAGAAGTAGTAGTAGTAGTAGTAGTAGTAGTAGTAGGCGTAGGAGTAGAAGTAGGAGTCGGAGTAGGAGGAGGAGTCGGAGCAGGAGTAGGAGACAGTAGTAGGAACCACCGCGGCCACGCCAGCTCCAAGCGATGCCAAGGACCATTTACGGACCAATGCATTTGTACTCTTGATGGACTTCTGGTTGGCGTTACATGATGATTCTGTTTCTTCTCTTGCAGCAGTGGTCTTAGTAGTATCTAGTAAACCCATGTACGAGTCTGAGGCACCCAGGTGCCGAGTTCCGCGGGGCCCCCAAAAGGCTGATCTGTGATTATGGTACTGGTAGGAATATGTATAAACATACACACATACATACGTACATACTTATACACAGGCAGACAGACAGACAGACAGAGAGACAGACAGACAGACGGAAGTAATCATCTGAACAAATACGTAAATGGATGCACAAACAACTAACTTGTAAAAATGTAGGAACGCAACGATGTCAAATACTTTGCATTCAGCTCTTATGCCCCTTAAGAAAACATACGACCGAAGTAAACGACCATAAACCGTTTAACAAACGTAGGTATAGCATACACAAACACAGCAATGCTAATCGCTGATACAAGTTCACGATCTTCCTGTTGCCGTTTGAATGCTGTTGAAGTCTTATCTTATGAATAGCATATAACCGATACTACTTCATTCCGTATTCCATCATAGCTTTTGGCGCTGGTACTATTTCAACAGTGTTCCGTTACGATGCTGTCATTTCTTTAGTGTGCCCTTTTCTGTTCACCTTTCATCTTTTATTTGCAATGACTGAAACTGCGCCAAATGTTTTTGTCAGTACAACTACGCCGAACCCTAACCCTCAACTCTGAAACCTAAACCCTAAACCTTACCCTAATCCCTGAAACCTATAAACCCTTAGCCCGTAAACCTTAACTCTCAAACATATAAATCCTAATCCCTGAACTCTGACTCAAAAGCCCCTAAACCCTAAGACCTGGATTCAGCACAGCCCTACTATTTGCTTAAGAACCCCCCAAAAAATGAAAATAATAATCCCTATATTACCCCCATAAGGAATATACTTTTGATTTTTTAAGCCCTAAACCCTAAACCCTAAACCCTAAAAGCAAATAGTAGAGCCCGAGGTTGAGACTCTAGGTTGATGCCCGGGGGCAGGTAGTCCTCCAAGGAGGCTTCGGATACTTGGGGGTTCATGGGCAGTCATACGTGGGGTTGTAAGGGTTCTTTTAAAGGGTTCTATAGGGATTCAGGGTTTAGGGTTTTAGGGTTTAGGGTTTAGGGTAGTTCGGATAGTAGTAGTAGTAGTAGCCGTAAGAATAACGATAAGAAACTGGTAATAGCAATAGCAATAGGGAGAAGGATAGTGGTGCCAAGAAAAAGCAGAGTATTACTGCTGCATAAGACTATTACTAAAAAGTACGAATCAGAATTACAACAAGAATACAGACCATAGTACCAACAATAAGAAGAACGATAACATAAGTATTACTAGCAATAGAAAGAAGAAGCCAGCCCAGCATCCCTTGCTTAAGGAATCACGGTTTGAGAATTACTGTTCAGGGGTGTACGGTTGGGTGGTTGGGTTCAGGGTATAGTAAAGGGTTTATGATGTAAGGGTTAAGTACTGGATTTAGCGATCAGGTGCAAGATTTAGGGGGCGGGATGGCGCAGATCTAAGGTTTAGGGGTTTAGGGTTTAGGGCGTTCTCAGGCTTCAGGGTTTGGATAGGGCCTCATTCTATCCGGTATTAGACCCGTAACATCGACTATTGGGAACCATCTGCCCCTTGCTGATCCTTGGCATGACCGAAACAGTATTCCTTAGGTTGGTGGTTTTGCTACTATAGAGTTCTACTCTTAGTACGGCCCCCCTCATAGTTTGGGAACCCAACATAAAGGCCCTCTTCTAACTCTACTTATAATTAACTACCCATGAATCTCCAAGTAGGCCCATACCTCCCTTGAGCCCGAAATTTTCGGGCCCACACCATAGACACCGAAAGCCTTTAACGCTAAACCCCTAGACCCTTGACCTGCTAACCTTCTGAAATCCGTAACCAGAATCCTAAACCCTAAAACCTAAATACTTGATCCCTTGAAGCCTTGTCCTCCGAGCCTCATTCTATACTTAAGGGCGCTTTAGGAGCTTGACCTGTAGCCGAAAAGACCTACCTTCTTACAGGGCTCCTCATAATAGTTCCTGTATGTAGTTCCTAAAGAATCAGGTCTTTTCGGCTACAGGTAACGGTTCTTCACTAGGATACCCAGTAACCTAAGAATAAAAAGGCCTCTCTTTTTGGTATTGGGTAACTTTATAAGGAACCTAGGACCTAGGACTACAAAAAGGGAATAAGGGTACTACTGGGCATCCTAGCCATCACCCTAACCCCTAAACCCTAAACCCCTAAACCCTAAACCCTAAACCCCTAAACCCTAAACCCTAAACCCTAGGGTTGTGGGTTTCGGACTGAAAGTCAAAGCCGATCAAACCCTCGGGAACCCGCTCAAACCCTGTTCAGGGCTGAAGCTTGGGGCTTTGGGGGTTTAGGGTTTAGGTTCCTTTAAGGGATCTATAAGGGTTACTATAAGGGTACTATGGGGGTTCACGGTGTAGGGTTTAGGGTTTACTTGGAGGTTCATGGGTGGATAGAAGTAGGGTTCTAAGTAGGGTAACTGTACTTTTTACCCATATTCGGGGACTGACAACCCTACTTATACATATACAATAACTAACCCATGAACCTCCAAGTAGGGACAACAAGTGTATTCATGCAGCGGTACTGGAGTCTGGTACACCACCAGTACCTGTATCCCAAACCCTTTAAAATAGTAGGTTATGACCCCTTAATTAGAGGGTATAACTCTTAAAACAGTAGGGTTTTGGATCCCCAGGTACGTATCACAATGTGTCACAGTCTACTGTTCGTCTCCTGAAACTCGAAACACGAAGCCGATGACCCCTTAGGTTGGACTCTAAAACATCCTGAAACGCACTTCGTGAAAATACGAACTGAGGACAGGCGCTCCCCAAATAAGTTAACTGTAGATTTGGGATAAACCCCCCGAAACTCCGCTGTAATTATCAACCGTAAACCCTATAAACCCTAAACCCTAAACCGTGGCTGCAGTAAATCCTGTCAAGACCCCGGAGCCCTGTAAACCAGAAAGAAGCGCACGATAACGGGAAACCCCTAGGGGCTTCATATTATGATTTAAGGTATATTCCTTAGTTAAGGGGTATTGGGCTCTCTGGGAACAGTAACCTGAAACCCTAAACCCCAACCCAAACCCTTACGAATCCCATAAGAAGTAACCTGAAACCCTACACCCTCAAGGATAGTATGAACGGTCGATTTGGCCTCCGGCCGCTTCGGAGTGACCATCGGCATTCGGCCACTCGGGTTCACCTGCCCAGTTGTATTATAGTACCCTTATAGAACCTTATAGTATCCCTTTTAAAGGAACCCGTGAAAAGGAACCCCAAGTTTTCAATTTAAGCTATCCTTGTAATTTATGGTTTACGGAGGTTTTTGCTAGCGAGCCCAGAATGAGCTTTCAACAGAACCTGGTAGAGTGATCAGTAACCCAGTTGCTAAGGACGTAAATACAGAAAGCAAAAGAGGAAGCTCGAAACATGTGGTTTCATATGGTGCAGGTTTATGTTGAGTTACCATCGTCAGGAGCCACGTTACTTGCTGTAGACCGTTGCTGTGGCAACATAAGCTAAGTTCCTCAAGTAGAACCTAGGAGTTGAGACATCGTATCGCTGCAGTGGGATCTCAGGCGGTTATGCAAAAGTCCGAACGTTTAGTAAGAGTATCCCCTGGTAGTACTTGTTCAAGTATAGTATACAGTATACCCATACTCTGAGCAAGAGCCAGCACGGCAAGTGTAAGCAGTTGGCACCGCAAGCGTAGAATGGAATGTCCCACCAAAGGAGAGTCAAAGGTTACCTACTCTACTAATAGGCGCCTACTTGTCGGGTATCATGGGGAACTGAAAGGTTAAGCTTTTTGGTTTTATAGGGATTTTCTAGGGACTATACTGACCCAAAAAAGGTAAAAGGCTCCCTACTCTACTACTAGGAAAGAGTCAACGGATACCTATTCTACTACCAAGAGGAACTCCTTATCAAGAGCCCAGAATGGGCTTCAAGCTCCGAACGAACCTTAAACTCCAAACGAAGGCCCAGAGAGCCCAATACCCCTTAATTAAGGAATATAGCCTAAATCAGAATATGAAGCCCCTAATGATTTAAGGTATATTCCTTACCCCCAAAACCCTATAGATCCCTTTAAAGGAACCCTAGGTCCTATATATTCCTTAATTAAGGGGTATTGGGCTCTCCGGGGGGCCCGGGCAGTGTGTTTAAAGGCTTAAGGGCTGAAGGGCTTAGGGCTTAAGGGTTTAGGGTTCCAGAGTTTTGGGCCAAAAAGCGGAGACCCCGAAACCCCAAACCCTAAACCCCAAACTCTGAACCCTAAACCCTAAACCCCAAACCCTAAACGCTAAACCCTACACCCCAAACCTTGCAAAAAGCTGGCAAGCCCAAGATCCATGAAACCCTGAGACCTCGGGACTCGCGATATGGGCTTTGCTTGGAGGTTCATGGGTATCTCTAAGTAGGGTTGTAAGTTACTCGTAGCCCATATAATACGCTTTAAGGGTTTAGGGTTTAGGGTGCCATATAAGTCTTACAGAGTCGCCTGCGACTTGTGTAGACTGTGCTCTGGCGGCGACATGACTGTCTCCATGTCTCGCCAAGGATGCTTTGCTGCAAGCCGGTGAAACCATGGGGGTCTGACTCCCAAATGCAGGAAGGGCTCGCCGACGTCAAGCACCTCCAGCCGAAAGCTGGCTTGAAGAATATCAATGTCAGTACTGGTCTCGTACGTTCCGGGTCCTCCCGGAATCTCGTTCACCTGAGTTTGCGGACCCTTACGTGAATCCAGCGCAAGCTGGATTCAGGCATGCCTCAACAGACTGCTGCTGCCCACTTTCACTTGAGTGGGGCTTCGAAGGATATGCACCACACCGAGGCTCTGAATGCGGCCTGGCGTCGGGTCATGCAGGTTGAGCTGCTTCAAGAGGGCGCTGGAGTCAGGTAAGGGGCGAAACCTTAAGCCTACCTTGAACCACCAAAACCTATCTTTTTGGTAGGGTCCCTTTAAAGTCTATAGTAGGGCTTGCAATGAGAAACTGCAAAAGGGTGGGTTATGGTAGTTTAAGGTAAGGGTTTTTGGAAGCCCCAAACCTGCCAAAAGCGCGAAAATCCAACCACCAAACCCGACATCCCAAGCATGTGTGCAGCATGCCTAGAGGTTCACCGGTAGTTATACGCAGGGCTTTGCAGTCACTGTCTTGTAAACCATATTGCGGCACTTTTCACCCCTAAACCCCTAAACCCTAAAGCCTGAAACCCCCCTAACCCCCTAAACCCTAAACCCCTAAACCTATAGTTGTTGTAAACCACTGCACACACGCACTGTTGTATATACCCGTCCAAGTGATAACAGCACGGCTTGTACCATCCGGTCACTACCTTTTTCCTGTTAGAGCACTTGTGCCACAATGCCGTACACACAACATGATACCTCACACGTGCACAAATTACACCCCCCTCGCCGAAGCGTTAGTCTGAGGCGCAAACATGCACGGAAGCTTGGTGCTGTGTGGCCTGCCGTAAAGGCGGCTGGATTGTGGCTCGGGGCTCATAGGCTTTCTACTACCGTAAAGCGGAAGATACGGAAGCAGGTTAATTCTTTTAGCGCGCAGTTTAAAGTCGCGACATGCATTATAAAATGGCGACGATCCAGCAAGCCTTGAATGATGGCGTGGATACAAGTCGCAAGAACATGTGCAGCATGGGACGAATACATCATCCACTGGAGCTGCTGACGACTCCCCTCGAGGTCCAAAGACCTGATGTCGGATTTGTCACAAAGTGACTGCCAGAGGATGCAAGATGAAATTTTTCTGGTCTTAAGGAAATTCGGCCACCTCTAAGAGGGGCTGTATTTCGGAGTACCGGTTAACTTGACGGAACCACGAAATGTTGATCAGGTACTTAGTACCATCCTCGGGAACCGGAGGAGCGGCCGTAGGGGTGGGATCCTCGCTGGTAGCCGCGATCCCATCCCTGCTCCTGGTAGCGCTGTTGCTCTGCTCTGCGTGCATCAGCTTTGGCTTGTGCGATGCGAGAGCGTTCAGCGTTGCGCTGTCGCTCTTCGTATGCACGGCGTGCAATTCCGACCTGTTCCGCGAATTTCCCACGGAGCCACTCAGTCCAGTCCTCGGCAGAATAGCCGAGTCGTGGATCGACGTAGAGTGCCTCTTCTGAGAAAGTAACAATCATCTTCACGATTTTGTGCTGGAGGAAAACATCTACGAATTTACGCAAACTGTATGCCCCTCCCAGCCACATGATGCAAAACGGATCGTCACTCACTGCGGAGATCAGGCCTGCCCTAAGGGCGGCTGGATTGCACTCGTGCAAGTAGAGCAACCGGGCAATCTCCTGGTTCCTTGGCCCTTCGGAGCTTCCACCATAGGTGCCGACAGCCAACTGTCGTTGCTCCTTTGAACGGCCATGGTTCGGCAGGGCAGCATGCGTAAGCACGTCTTCGATGGCCAGAAACTCTCGATCGTACCCATTGCCGATGGAACTCATAGTGTAGTCCACATCGTTATCGAAGCGGTGTACGATGCTTGTGTAGCCTCCTTTCGTAGCCATCTTGAGCTGCTGCCGGGCCTTGTCCAACGCCTCTGCGTCAAGCGACGTAGTTCCCCGCTGGGTTGAGGAATCTCTGGTCATTTCATGAATGACCTCCTCTGGCGTCAGCTGGGAACGTGGCTTGCCCGCAGCGGCAGCGGCGGCCTCTTCAGCGAACCAACGAGCTGAACGCGCTTTCTTGCGTGCGTTCTGTTGGGAAGGCTTCACGATGTGCACGCCACAGCTCAAGCATATCATCTGTCCCACAAGGTGTTGAGTACCGCAGTGGGGACATGCCCTGTGACGGCCACCCGTAACGGGGGCTGGAGGGAGAGCCAAAGGAGTCGATTCCGGCTGAGGCGGTGCCTGCTCGAACATCGGCTCGATCTTGACTTCTTCCTCCTTTTTCACATCGCCTTCGTCTGCTCGATCTCGATCTCGACTTCAACGGGATCTTCCGGCTCAAGGAAACGAACACGCTTTCTGGACTCAGTCGGTGCCTCCGGTGGAGAAGCGCCCCCCTGGTCCAATGTTGTGGTTTCCTCCGGAAGGAAGTCGGATGCTGTGGCGTCGTTGAGTGCAAGAGGTTCTGGTGATGATGCTAGTGGAGCAACCTCAACCTCAACTTCAACCATAGGCTCGTCTGCTGTTGCAGACGCTGCTGATTCGACCTCTTCATGGCCACCACTAAGTGGGGCTGAAGGTTCCTCCGGAATATCGGGGAACTGCTCCGGCTCAGCTGCTCCAGGATCGACAATGGGATCCTGGGCAGTCTCCGGAAGGATTGTGTCTTCCTCTTCGCCGGACTGCCGAGACCACAAAATGATGCCTTTGATCGTGTCTCTGATGTAGAGCACGCAACTCCCTGGCACCGGGTCGCGAGTGAGTATACCTTCGGAAGTTGTCTCAAACAGATAGGCATAGCGGTTCACCTCCTGAGTGTCGAGAACAACTTCATAAGGAAGGTTTGCTCGGCTGCCAGCTTTATTCTCAAGCTCGCTCAGAGTGGCCTTCGCGAAGTAGTTGTGAAACTTCCCGCTCCGGTTGAACCCCGGCGTGAAGCCAGTAGAGAGAATATTGAAAGCTGAATCATGCGTGGTTCGATGATAGAGGCGTGGGGGAAACTCCCCAAGAGCAAGGAATGGCCTGCCTTGATAGGCGGCTGTAGGACCAAGCTCCTCACGCGTATCGTTCGTGAACCAATGCAGAGCAATCGAGGAATCAGTCACTTGATCTTTGATGCGTTCGCTGTGACCATGCGACGCACAAATCCACGACGGCCAAATGTCCGTCTCGATGAAGTCAGCACGTGGATCGGTGGGGAGGCCTGCCAAGTTAAACCTCGATTTGTTATCGTAGGCGACTATGGACAAGATACCCCGTGTTCCCAGATCCACACGGTGCTTCTTCCACATGTGCTGAATGAGGTCTTGGATGCGTACCCATTTCCCGCGCCGTGAGCTGAGCTTCACGTTCGATCCTCGGACAGCACCTGTGAGGTAGCGCTCAATATAGGGTTTGAGGCCTAACTCAGGGAGGTGGTCCTTCGGGATCGAATCGGGGAGGATCTGAACGATCTCGCTCCCCTCCGGATCCTCTGGGCACACATCCTCGTCGATGAAGCCACACATTTCCATCAGGTCCAAGTCATCTTGGTATTTTACCCCGATGTAGTCG